TTTGGCCTGGATAGTGATACAAGTATATTGTCAGTTAGGCGGACTGATTTACTGTGATGACTCGAAAAGCAGACAGCGAGGCGACAAAGCCCCCAGTCTTTTTTGCAATCCTACCCAAAGACTTTGGGTTTTTGAATTGGTAAAGCAAGGGCAAAACTGATAAATTGCCTTAATTTTCTATTTTATCAAATTTTGTGCTAAAAAATCAATAAGTTGCAAATGTCAAGTTCATCAAGAGCATGAGGAAAAGCGGAAAAATGAAATTTGAAGTGTAGACTGCAGGTGCAGATTTGTGTCAGCCAAAGAGTTGAGAAACAAATCAAATGGAACCTTCAGAATTGTTTTTTCTCCATTCGCTCTATCGATTTGAACTGTTTTCTCTTTTATACTTATCAATAAATTACCTTTGAATTTAGCTACAAAAAATAAGTTTTGAAAAGTATACGTTCCAAAACTGACAGAGGTAAATTTTTACTGTTTTTCTTCAACTTAAACTTGATAATTCAACCCTATAACCAAAACCTATTTTGGTACTTGGAGCAGTTGTTCATCCATTTATAACCCATAATTATTTATTCAACCCTTCTTTATCTGTTTATAAAAACATCCGTTAAACTCTAGGACTAGATCGAATATGAGGTAAAATGAAAACCCCAGTTATGTTAAAATTGATAAACGTGGAGAGTATTTTTAACACTGAAATTTAGTTTCAAAATATTTTTGGATTTTTCATTTAAAACGTACATGTCTATATCGAAATTACGACTCAGAAATTCCCTTCAAATTAATTAAAATTTGTTTAAATTTTTTAGAGGTTAAAATATTTTATTCTAATTAGTAACTCTAGAAGTAATCTGTGATTGGATATTTTTTCAACATGATGGTTTAGAACCAAAATTTATGTGAATTATTGTTTATCACATTTGTAAATTGAAGTTTCATCGTCATTTAGGTTAATAGTTTTTAAAAATCTTGACGATGCACATTGTTGCGAAAACATTTGAAACTTTTTTAATCAAAAGACTCTTCAGTTTTATTTGTAAACTTGCGATAAACCAAACAGCAAAGAGCTGAAAATTCCAAGTGTTTTCCCATTAAAACCCAGTATCTAACATACGTTAATGAATTTCATCAACCTATACGGAACTTTTGTAGTGTTTTTTTATCGATACGTAAAACATGGCTGGTTTTTATTTAAGTTACCGAATTTTTTTTATATTGTAGCAGCTAACTCCTTGTTCCACAGCATCAACAGACTCAAAAGGTGTGAGAAAAAGCGATACGAGAACCTTGGTACAGCAATTCCTGGCCTATCCCTGAATAACAACTCGCTGAACCGAGGAAAAAACCTCCGAAGATTACTGATTACTGGAAGACAGTCCATTGAAAGACTTAGTGAACAACACCATTAGCAGCCACAGAACCAACAACTATCGACCAGCCTTTGTAGAGGAGCTGACAAACTATTTGAAGTCGAAGAGGAAGCAGATATTGGCGATCGTGTTTTGCAGAGTGGAAGGAACGCTCGACTGGTTTAGTCAGCTACTCAGCACAGGAAGTCTCAATATTCCAACAACAAAACAGCTTTTCTCCAAGAGCAAACAAAGCGTCCCGGAGCAGCTCAAAGAACATTTGAAGCTGAGCCAGAGTGCGGAATTATCTGCGCTTCGAAGACAGGGGCGAGGAGAGTGAGATTTGTTTTGCTTTGTGCCTTGTGAGTTCCCTTACTCGTAGCCTGCAAAACAATGACCTCAGTACTTTTGCCTGCTGTTTGGCTCCAACAAAGATCAAAAAGAAAGCTAACTTGGAAAATTGTGTTAGACTATTTAAAACTTTTGAAAAACGTTCAAGTATCTGTACATAGACTGAAGTTTCTGAGAAATTGTCTGAAAAACGATCCAATACAGTATTTTTTGAAGTTTAGGGAATTTTTTTTGTACCAAACTGTGCATTATTTTCAACTAAATTTTCTAAGGACTGAAAGTTTTAGGGCAAATGAGGACACGAAAGGTATGAGGAGATGCTTGTGAAAACCGGATCGCTGGTGCAAAAAGAAATCGACGAACAATGGCGTGCATCCATTTTCCGCTTCGCGAGGCGTCAAGTTGAGGCAAGCTTAAAGAAAACATCAGATAACTATAGAAAAAAATTAGATGAACAGTCCGAGAGACAAGATAAACCTCTTGGGGGGAGAGATGAGCGATCATTTAAGGTGCTTGATATCATTGAACTGCCTGGATGGGTACAAGAAGTGCTGTCAATGGGCCCGAAGCATCCCATAAAAGATAAATTTAACGAAACGCACTTTCTGCCTGATATCGACATTTTGCTCTCATAATTGAAAAACCAAAATACGTCTGGTAAAACTTTATGTGAAATAGAAGCAAGTGTAATGATTTACAGTATGTGCAGATTGAGGGTCTAGCAATGGGCGCTTCGCTCGCTGTAATTCTGGAACAATTATGGTTGAAAGGGTACGAGTTTCCTCTAAGACATGGGAACGGAGATACAGCCAATGAATTACAAAAATGGTTTGTTTGTGCCCATGTTGCTGCAGCAAAGTAACATAAAGATCAACGGTGGTTGAATACGAACGTTGCCAAAACTGGTATCATCGTCTTCTGCTCTAATCCCGAGACCCTTCCGGATTGAGCGCAAAATAGCATTAACGTGCTTAAATACTCAAATAACCCTTCAGTACAAGCACCCGAAACGGGCCACAATTTTGATCGTATGATTCTGACTGATATAAATGCCTGTAACATTAATTTATCTAACAACAACAAACGGGAGGGTCGGATCACATCTCTTCTGGGGGATGATTTCTACTGATTTTATAATTTTTAATTTTTTTTTGGTTTTTTCGGTTATTTTTCGTTTTTTGTTTTTTCTTAGGTACTATACTACTTTGTTTGGTTTCATTTATATCTTTAAGTGTTTTTGGTCGCAAAATTCTCAGGGTACGACGGTACGGCCAATCCCCCACCCTTCCTGGTACGTGGATTTTTGGTCTTAACTAGGTTAAAAAGCTATTTTCGAGAATCCGGAAGGCTTCCGCATTCCGAACTAATCTTCCATCCCGGTGATTCTGAACGATTCTGGCGGTCATGATGTTTAAAAAAATAACACCCAGGAGCGCCATAAAAACGTCTATGTAACATTCGCCCGAAAGTACATATCGACGGAAAATAAAGCTAGTTTCTAAAACAACTGGCTAGAGTCTAAACACAGCTCTACATGCTTTTCACCGTCTCTGCCGAAGCCAGTTCTTTTGGTGGTCTTTCTAACATCGGGTCGACAAAAAACGTTACTGTTTCCGGCGTTGATCAGAATGCTCTAATGAACCTAATTTCATGCAGAAATAGTGAGCTTATTGCTGGATTTCAGTATCCCCAGACCACGAGGTCTCTCGTAAAAACAGGGCTACTACATATTTATCATATTACTATTATTTCTGTTCAGTAGAAAAACATCATCATCTCCATCGAAGATGGATCAACCCTTTCCCTTAACTCCTAGCTTCTCATAGTCTGAAAACGAATTTAGATGTTATTAATTCAATCCAGGACATAACCAGAAGCTAAAAATTCATTAAATAGGGAGTTACAGTTTTGTCCCAAGATCCCTCCGGATTCTGGAATCCGGGCAAATAACGCTCTTATTTCTTCTCGGAAGGCTGGACACGTCGTCCCAATACCCTTCCTGGTTCTCGGGATTCGTGTTGTAACGATTGTAGCGGCACAATCGTTACAACTCGGAATGGTCTGATCATCGTTTTCTATTTCATCCTCGATCTGTCTCTCACAATTGTCATTTACCGTTTTCTCCACGAATTCTGTTGTTTTTCTGTTTCTTTTTGCAGTTTTCAGTTGTCGCGAAATTTCGACGTCGTCACGTGTCTTTCTTTTCAAACGAATTTTTAAAAATTAATATGTCAGTCCCAACTAACCATTCCGCGTTCGTCAAAATGAACAATTAACACCGCTAATTGGCTAAAACCGCCAAATTTTCCGCTTCGCTGTCAAAATAAAAATTCGAATTCGAACTAGCATTTTGGCACATTCTGGTCGAATGTCACATATAAGCGTAGATAAGAACCAAAATTTATGTGAATTATTGTAAATAACATTTGTAAGTTGATGTTTTATCTTCATTTAGAATAGTTGATTGTAAAAATCCTGACAATGCACATAGTTGCGAAAAAATTTGAAATTTACTTTTTATCAAAAGTTTTTATTTTTATATAGGGCTTGCTGATTTTTTTTTCAGGAAATAAACTCAAAGTATTCCCACGCTCAGTTTTGATTTTTCGCGGTTTGACTTGTGAACTGTTTTTCAATGCATTTCTATTGTTAGGCAATCTGTTAGGCAATCTATTGTGGAGGCAATCTCCACTATCGAACAGTAAAAGTGGAAAGTTAACGAAAAACTTGATCGACATCTAATTTCGAAAATGGAGATGAATTATCAGGTTTCCCAGCGAAATAAAAGTTTTACCTATTGATCCAGTTTTCTCAAACATGTTTCCTTGCGTTCAGTACTTTATTCCATCTGTTAGTTGGCTATGTTTTCATTGTCAGAACAGTAAAATGAAAAAACCGCCCAATGAAGTTCTCAAACTATCAAAAGTCCGGACAGAAAAAGCGCGAAACAATTTTTAGTTCAAAACGTGGAATCATATCGGTTGGAAATATTTGTTTAAGTTAGAGAAATGATAGGACTGAAAAATAAAATAATCAAAACGATGTGGAAATTTTTTGAAGAAAATTTTTCCGAGCGAAAACTTTGCTCACGGCAATTGTTTTGTGATTGTCATAACTTTTGTAATAACGGGACATTAGTTTAATGAATAACGAGTGGGACTAAACCCTTCAGCATTGCTTTAAATCTGCAAAAACTAGAGAGATTGTAAATTAGATATTTTGTTTACTGTAAATAAGTTTGGCGCTCCAAAAGATAGTCCTTGAAACAGTCAGCGTCTGCACTATTTTGTTATTTTATAGATAGTTTGTCATGCGAATTTTAGTGTTCGGGGGACGTGGAGCCCTTGGTTCTAAATTGCTTTCTTACTGCAAGCAAAAGGAAGAGTGGATTATCGCTGCTGGCTTCCAGTCATCCAGCGATGCAAATGAAAATGTTGTTCTGACAAACCGTGACAATTTTATTGCGCAATCTGCAGAGGTTTATGTTTTTTAAATCCCATTGTAAATTTAGGGAATTACTCTAAGCAAGGGTATTGCAACCGGGTAACTTGACCTTTTTCTCGTAAACAAATTTCTCCACAGAATTCGCACGTGTTTTACTGCAGAGGTAAATGTAGTATGTTCATGTTAGGAATGGGGCTTGTGTGCCTGCTATGAGTTCTCTAATTGTGTTTTTTGTGCCGATAATTTCGGTATCTTTACGGCGCTTGAGTGTCGGCTTTAGTTCCGTCGGCTCATTTTCCGAATGATTTTTTTTTCATTTACTTTTTGTTGGTTTTTTATAAGAATGGTTGAAGTCCTACAAAATGTTTTGGACAAATCTAAAAACTTTTAAACCTTTCGTAATAAAAGTGAAAATTTTAAAGATGATAAAAATTTAAAATAATCGAATTTTTTTTCGAAATTTAAAAAAATTTCATATTTTGTTTGGCGTGAGTTTGCGCATTAACTTTGGTTTTAATCTTTTATGCTCTTGTTTGTTCTATCAGCTGTTTTATCATGTTTTTTTCTGATTTAGGTAATTGACGTTTAGGTACTTTGTCAGAAAATTCAATTATCTAAACATTATCTAAACAATTATCTATATAATTAATTTAAAAAAAAAAAAAATTAATTAAAAAAAAAAATTATCTAAACAGATGCACTTGGAGAATTATCTGCAAATGCATTCACTGTAACAACTGGAAAAAACTCGAAACTCAAACTTAACTTGATGAAAACATGTAAATGACGGGACTCATAAACCCTTGGGAAGCGTGACTTCCCAGAAGCCTCAACTACTACTACTACTACTACTACTACTACTTTATGTGTTTCGCAATTTTTTGTTTATTTTTTGTTCAGATCACTTTTGCGTTCACAAGATCCAGACTGTTTTCAAAAGTACGGTTCAGAATATTGTTCAGATCACATTTGTTGTGTTTCTAATCTAATTTGTCTAGGCTTCTGAAAAATTGAATAATATTGTTCGGTATTTATGTCTTTCATTTACTTATTTAAAAAGTATATCAGAGTTAGTGGTTATTGGTTCTTTCATCAATGCAGTTTACCAATGGTTCGATTGCGTGTCTTCGGAAGACTTCGATGAATAGCAGGCAGGTTTTAAAAGTAAATTGGAATTAGGTTGATTTTGTTGCTTATATAATTTAAAAAAAATGTTTTTCGATCAGTTTTGTTATCTGATTTTTTGGTAACTCTTTTCTTGACTTACAATTTTTGCCTCACAGTTAGAAATGTTTCGGAGCATGAAAGAATGCCGAAACGACTAAAACTGCAGTGATACTTTAGTAATAAAAAATGTTTCAGTGTGAATCACAGCTTGTAGGCTTGCAAAAAAAGCTAAATTTGGAACCTAATTTCCTGGACGCAGTAGTATGTGTGGCGGGTGGTTGGAGAGGAGGTAATGCGGCATCTGATTCATTCATTCAGGGCTGTGATGATGTCATCAAACAGAGCATATGGTCTTCAGTAGTGGCAGCTCAGGTAACTGACCAACTCATTTGATTACAATTTTGACTCTATTGAAGTTATAAATGACCAGTGGAAACTTACTATCAATTCTCTTATTATCAATTTTCTTATTATCAATCCTCGAACGACATGAACTTGAAGTTATGGAAATGTTTCATAGCGGATTCCCAACTAGCAATGGATCTGTCAATGAAGAGGCAAAGTTTGAAGTCTTTGATTCATCCTTGTGGTTATTCAATAAGTCAATTAATAGACGAAAATATTAACTAAAAGTGAAGATAGTTAAGATAATTGAATGAAAGTTTTGATTGTTTTCTGTCTTAGGTTGCTTCCAAGCATTTGAAAGCAGGCGGGCTTCTGGTGCTAAGTGGAGCAGCGGCAGCTTCAAATCCCACTCCATACATGATGGGCTATGGAATGGCGAAGGCAGCAGTGCACCAACTGACCAAAAGTCTGGCAGCCCCCAAATCAGGACTACCCGAAAACTCTTCTGTAGCATGTCTTTTGATTAATACGCTGGACACTGAGCAAAACAGAAAAGCAATGCCCAAAGCCGATTTCTCGAAATGGACTAGTTCGGAGTTTATTGCGACTTTGATTCACAAATGGACAATTGATGCAAGTTCTAGAGAGCCTTCGGGTTCTTTAGTTGAGTTAAAAACTGAAAATAGTAAAACCACGATGAACATTGTTTGAATGAAATTTTTTAGTACTCCGTATTGAAGTGTCTTTTTTACCACATTTGCTTGAATATCTATTTTACTCTAATTGAATCATTAGATGTTTGGTATTTCTGCGTTGTTTTTGCTTTAGCTACATAGGATATTGCAGCAAAGCTTTTAGCTTTGAACTCTTTCTGTTCAAAACGCCAATTCAGTAGTGAATTAACCTTGCCATAAGCAAGGGTATTGCAATCGGGTACTCTTCTTTTTTCCAGTAAATAATTTTGTCCACAAGGCTCATCGAGGAACCCCTGGTGGTCATGGGTGTTCAAAATTATATTGAAATTAAGTTAATTGCAATTAAATTAATTGATTTTTGAACGTCTCCAATTACAATGAATTGATTGCTATTACCAATTAATTGCAATTTTTTGTTTTTTTTTATATTGGAATGGAGTCGACTTATTTCTTGCTCTTAAGTTCAGCAGTTAACCATCTCAGAAACAATAAATTACTGCTGGCTCATACTTTTACGCTTTTTGCTATTACATTGAGGAATCACAGTCGATAAGATGTTTTTGAGCTCTGCTGAATTGATTTTGTAACTTGGCAATTAATTGCAATTCATTGATTGTTTTTTTTTGCAATATCAATTTATTTAATGGTTTTGAAGTAATTGATTTTTCGTGTTGCAATCAATTTTTGAACACCCCTGCTTGTAATACCTTGGTTCATATTGAATTCAAGTTTCTTACTGTCTCCTGCACTTTTAGCCTGGAAGTGACGAATACGCCTGGGACGGTAAAGGTCCTGAGTTCGAATCTGACAGGGCCTGTTTTTTCTTTCGAGCGGGAAATTTTGCGGTTGAAATATTGCGCTGTTTTTCTAAGCCGGCAAATATTGCGCTGTTTTTCTTTCGGCGCAATATTTGCCGGCTTAGTTGCCAGATCTAAGAAACGTTGTTTTTGCTGTAAAAGATTTTTACTGTAGTTGCTTTAAGTGTTTAGGAGTAATCAACGTAGTGAGTACTCTTATATAGGTCTTGCTTAATATTTTTTTTTCAGATAAAGTCTTGAAGTTTGTTCATGCTTAACTTTAGTATTTCGCGGTTTGACTTGTGATTGCTTTTTCAGTTCAGTGCATTTCTATTGTTAAAAGGAAGGCAAACTCTACTATCGAACAGCAAAAGTGTAAACGTCACGTGGTGTAAGTGATCGACTTCTAATTTCGAAAAAGGAAATTAATTATCAGATTTCCCAGCGAAATAAAAGTTTTACTTTTTGAAACAGTTTTTTTTAACTTTGTTAATTTCAACATCATAAATTGTTGTACAAATTTAAAGAGTTTTAACCCCCATCTTTTTTTCTTCGAAATTCAAAAAATGAAGTTTTTTGAAAAAAAAAACAAGTCGTTTTTTTTAATTTACTTGCGTTCATTAATCCTCTTTTCCAACTGTTAGTTGGATATGTTTTATGAATTTAAAAGTCTAAACGAATCGAAATTTTTACATAACCAACTCATTTTTTGTTTCAAAATTTTTGTCTTTTTTTAGCTTAATTATTTTCGGCTTTTTTAATTGATCAGGTGGCCCCTTATTGCGTCGTTTGATGACCGAAAAAGTTTTTGTGTGTGAATGTGTTTTGACGGGAAGGGAGACTCGAGTTTTTTATCAAGAATTTTGAAAGGATTCTACTGAGGTTTTTTCTGTTCTTTTTTTTACCGCTTGATAAGTTTTGTTTCGATGCTAATTTTGCTTTCGTTTGTCGTGGCATGTTTTTTTTCAATACTCATTCGATTTGATTTCAGTTCTTTTTATACTGATAAAACATCAATATTACGCTTTAACACCGATTTTTTTATTTTTCGGCTGTCGATTAAGCTTTCAGTTTAGTCTGCGAAATGTGCAGAACACCTTAGTTTTATTACATGGATGGCTTCCGTGGATACTATTTTGACTGTACATGTGTTTAATTCCAATAAGATTTTGCCGAACAATTTTGGTTGAATTTCAGCTAATTGGCTGTCGGCTTCAGTTCTGTCGGCCTATTTACCTAAAATTTTGTTTCATACAAACCTAGATAATGTTTATGAAATCTTAAATTGTTTGATCACAAGTTTAACTTTTTGAATGCTGAAATACAACGCCAATTGGAACTATTCGTTTAATCTTGATTTTCTTTTTTGTTTTTCTATTTTTTCGTTCAACGGTCAAAGTCTTCTTTGATAATTTTTCATGTCCTGCTGTTTTATTGCAAGTGTTGAGAAGTTGAGCTTCGCCTCTGTTGTTATGATACATTAAGCTGGCAACCGTTCTTGATGGTTGCTCACAAATTTAGTGATCAGCACTTATGTATATAATTTTAGAAAACAAGATGTGAAATCATGTCTTGACAGTATACAACTCAGCAATGTACTGTCACTTTTCCCTCCTTTATGTACCTTTCCCTCTCGTTGAAAACCGAAACGCACTGCCTTTGAAATATTGTGTTGGAGTTGTTTCCATCGTGAACGCAACTGCAGGCAAAAATCGGACATTTGGCTAGACAACAAGAAAAGATGGTTCGATTGTTTTTTGCACCAATTTGAGTTGCTTTTAGTTGAAGATTTGAATATAATTGGGATTTATTTTTCGGTCATTTCTCCACATTCCAGACTAACTTTTTTGTGGTTGAGCGATTTTTTTTGCGACTTGAGCAGATATCTAAAAGTTTCACAATGAAGCCCTTACTGCTATGCTAAGTGGCTCTACCACTTCTAAATGGTGAAATTAACTCTTCGAGGTCGCCGTAAGTTAAATAATAGATACTAGAAGCCCGGTGTCTAAATGGTGAAATAAATTCTTCGAGGCTGCCGTAAGTTAAATAATAGATATTAGAATCCCGGTGTCTAAATGGTGAAATAAATTCTTCGAGGCTGCCGTAAGTTAAATAATAGATATTAGAATCCCGGTGTCTAAATGGTGAAATAAATTCTTCGAGGCTGCCGTAAGTTAAATAATAGATATTAGAATCCCGGTGTCTAAATGGTGAAATAAATTCTTCGAGGCTGCCGTAAGTTAAATAATAGATATTAGAATCCCGGTGTCTAAATGGTGAAATAAATTCTTCGAGGCTGCCGTAAGTTAAATAATAGATACTAGAAGCCCGGTGTCTAAATGGTGAAATAAATTCTTCGAGGCTGCCGTAAGTTAAATAATAGATATTAGAATCCCGGTGTCAAAATGGTGAAATAAATTCTTCGAGGCTGCCGTAAGTTAAAAAATAGGTACTAGCTAGTCCTTGAAGCCCAAGTTACTTGCTTTTTTTTCGTTTTATGTGCTTTTTTTTGCAAATAAAACCATTGTTGCGAACAATGAGATGGCGAAAGCAGCAGTGTACCAACTGAATAATCGTTGGACATCCCTAAATTCAAGTATGTGCAAAAAAGTTCAGAAAGAGGTAATACATCAGCAAAACTTGCGCTTCAGAGTTACTCTACATTTTCTCAACCTAACTTGCAACTTTCTGTTTAATTTAAGTATTTGTGTAGTAGAAACTTAATAGTAGCATGTGACACGATTCAATATCATGGGTTTTATCCGTTTTCATGAAGAGCATCCAATACTGCCTGATAATTAAAAGTAGCGCAGGTTTAAAAGCTATAGCTGTGAAGCGTCAGTGGTCAAATATCTGATATCTGAGTCCGAAACGGAAGACAGATTCGATCGAAAGTTGTAGATAACTTTTTCACGGCTAATTCTCGGCCTTTTTAAAGCTCCTTTGATGCTGGCGAAGTGTAGCCGTGCCTCTATGTGGCTTTTTATCATGCGGAACAAAAACGACAGTAATGTCCAAAGCCAATTTCTGAAAATGGAGACAGGATTTGGTTTTGTGTTGATCTACAAAAAGACAATGATGCATAGTTTGGAATTAGTCAAACTACATTGAAAAGATCTTGGTTTAAACGTGATTAGTTATCCTGGATGTGCAATAATATCATAAAGCAAAATTGGCGATGAAATTGAAAGTCTTTAAATTGTTTTATCTATGATTAAACTCAACTGATTTTCGAAGCTCAAGTTAGCGGTTTCTCACTTTTATGATTTTGTTTTTCAACTAATTAGTACAGTTATTACAAGGCCGAACTGTGCACTAGATAGGCTGTGTTTGCTGTGTTTTTAAAGCATCAGGACGGTAGCATCTTTTAGCAAGTGAGCCGCTATAAAATGGTTTCTTTTGACCGGTAGATGTAAGGTTTGCAGCCGATTTTTGGCTTCGGATTTTCAATTGATTCAATCCGCAATGAAAAAGACGTAGTGTAAATGTTGAAACTTTTTTTAAAGTCCGAAATGTACATGTGTCATTATTCATCGGCCAAACTTTTTTCTGTAGAAAAACTGTTTTTCATTATTCATCGGCCAAACTTTTTTCTGTAGAAAAACTGTTTTACAATGTTTTAAACGAATAAAAAAATTTTCATGTTTTTTCTGCCAACTCTGATTTGTAGTGCTCTTAAAAGTGATTGTGGTCGGAACCTTGTCTGCTGATTGCCCCTGCAACATTTTAATTCTGAAAATGCGATGTACTCTCATTATCAAAATTGTAATCTTGAATAAAGTTTTGAAGGATCAACCGTACTATCTTCCCCTTAAGTGACGTATCGTAGAATCTCATCCTAGCTATTAATTAACTTTCAAAATTAATGCGTTATGAAATACGAATTTCAAATAAATAACTCAATTATAATTTCCTTTCTAAACTATGGGTTGTATTTGTATACATTGATTTGAATCAAGTAAATTAACGTTTAACTTTTCTTTAACTTTTTACAGTAAATTAAATCAATTTAGGCTGTTTTCTACTCTATTTTCTGAAAAAATCCTTGTTTTCTTTCCCCTTAAAACAATTTGGGAGGGGCAATGTACGGTTGAGCCGGATTCAGAAAAATAGAGTTCAGTTTTAGTTTAACGCTAAGATGTCGCTTCCTCGTTGATTAGTGCGTTTGAACCCCAAGGTGAGAATGAGTTTCCTCCGATTGTCTTGGACCCAACTGATACCAAGTGTCGATTGCTGGCCGTCTTGTTCTTAGATTTGCCTGCTGCTTTTCGGTCACTTTCTAGCGCTTCTAAAACAGAATAAAAGTTGTTTTTTTTCTAAAAACGGCTTAGCTGGTTAAAGCAGGCCCTAAAAAATTCGTAAAGAAATTTGACATCTTTGCTGGGCCTATAATTTACCAACGAAATGAGCTCCTAATCCCCATACGCTAATTTTTACATGTTAAATTTTTGTTCATATTGTTCGAGTGTTAACAAAATTGGAATGCGAAATTTCAGCCCTAATAAACAATTTTGGTCCTCATACTCAACCTTGTAAAACCACTCGTTCAGGGGCGGATCTAGGATTTTCTAGTCGGGGGAGGGGGAGGGGCGGATTTTCGAAAAAAAAAAATCAAAAATTTTGTCCACCTTTTTTTTAGATCTACCCAATTGATTTTCTAAGCTCTCCCAAAGCACTAAAAAGGCCCTGTTTTGGCCAAACTTTAATTTTTGAAAAACAGGTTCTAAAAAGCATTTTTAGGCACTTTTTGGAAAATTTCGTTTTTGGCCCCCCCCTACCTTAAACCTTAAATGTAGTATATATTGGCGCCAATGGCGCCTTTAGAAAAATTTGGAGGGTCCGTCACCAAAAATGGATATCTCAAAATAGTACAAAGGGAGGACCCTTTGGTCGGCAGGGGGTCGAATCCCTGTGAGAAAGAGTCCGCCCCGCCCCCTCCCTTAAATCCGCCCCTGCATTCGTTACATTTGTGAGGTTCATGTGAGGTGGACAGGGGCGGATCTAGGATTTTCTCGAGGGGGGGGGGGGGGGGGGGGCGGATTTTCACAAATTTTTGTCGACCTTTTTTTTATAAGGTCGACCCGAATTGATTTTCCGAGCTCTCCCAAAGCACTAAAAAGACCCTGTTTTGGTCAAATTTTGTGCGCCGCAGGCAAAATTTTGAAAAAGGCGCCAAAGAAGGCGTTTTAAGGCACTTTTTAGAAAATTTTGACCAAAAAAAATTTCGTTTTTTTTGGTGTGCGCTCCCTCTCAAAGTTAGTATATATTGGCGCCAAAGGCGCCTTTAGAAAAATTTTAGGGTCGGTCGGCCAAAAATGGATTTCTGAAAAAGTATCAAAGGGGGGACCCTTTGGGTCGGCAGGGGGTCGAATCCCTGAAGAAAGGGCGTCCGCCCCCCCCCCGCCCCCCGCTAAATCCGCCCCTGGAGGTGGGGGTAGGAAAAGTAAATGAAAAAAGAGATTTGTGTCCTAATATAAGGGGGTTTCGCGTTAATTTTGATACCTTTATTATATCGTTTTATGGCTTCCGTTATTGTATCGTTTTGGTCATAGTTGCTGAATGGCTCACTATTGTATGGCCCTGCACCGCCCCCACCCGGTTGTTGCATGGAGGGTTTGCTGACTAGAGGGGTGTTGCCTAGTAGGTCTACGAATTCATACTCCTCCCCCATCAGTTGAGCGGCACTGGGGGGCAAAGCGGGAAGCTGGAAGATGGCAGGTGGCTGCGTCAGACGCAGGGGGGCTCCTGAAAAATTATCACATCAGTTTGATTTAGATTGTATCTATATCCAAATATAACAGAATATAAAAGAAGGAAAGGAATCGAAGCAGGAGCGGATCTAGGATTTTCTCAAGCGAGGCGGATTTTCAAAAAAATTTCGAAAATTTTGTCGACCAAATTGATTTTCCGAGCTCTCTCAAAGCATTACAAAGACTCTGTTTTGGCCAAAATTTCTGCGCCGCAGGCAAAATTTTGCAAAAAACAGGCCGAAAAGGGGTTTTAGGCACTTTTTGGAAATTTTGACCAAAAAATTTTTGGCGCGCGCTCCCCCCCTCAAAATTAGTATATATTGGCGCCTTTAGAAAAATTTCAGTGTCTGTCACCAAAAATGGATATCCCAAATTAGTACAAAGGGGGGACCCTTTGGGTCGGCAGGGAGTCGAATCCCTGAGGAAACAGCGTCCGCAGGGGGTCGAATCCCTGAAAAAAAAGCCCCCCCTCCTAAATCCGCCCCTGAATCGAAGGAAAGAATTGTGCATTCCTTTTTTTTCAGTGCTTTTAAAAAAGAATAAAATTTTTTATGCGCCAATCTGTAATTCAATATCATTTAAATCCACGTATTTGAAAAATGGTTTAAGCAAAACAATAGTTGAAATTTTTGTCTATCTTGACAAATATATAGTTATTTTGCCGTATACAGCCAGTTGCCTTAACTATTTTTTATGTTTTTACCTGAGGGTGCAATTGATTTGCCCACCCTGGCATTGTAGATAACTCCTGTTCTGGTAGGCATGAACAAAGCCGGCAGACACACTTCTGGAAAAAAAAGAACAAATTTACCACCCCAATGTTCCGCTTTCTGTTACTTTTAAGATGAAACAATTTCATGGTGCTCAAGATTGTCATGAAATTTTGTAAAGACTACCCATCCATGTTGAAACTCAATTGGTTTTCCCTGAAAACTTATCAAACTATCGGCTGCTCGATAACAATTATGTAAATTTCTGGTTGGGCCGACTTAATTCAAATTTGGAAACCATTTGGTTATACGAGTATGAAAAAACCGTCGTAACGTACCTTCGAATTGTTCTATGTACTCAGTACTATGATGATGTGGTTTTTGGGTACCACTGTTCCCTCCGAGATCATCTAGCTGTCCCCCCATAATACTAGTGGTGTGGATGAGTGTGGGTTCTCGGCTGAACCTATGTTGTCCCTTCATCTGGCGTTCAATATGGTCTGCTCGCGTACCCTGAACGGTGTCGCGCAATTCACGCACGTGAACACTTCTATCGGACGAGAACTCACGTTGCCGCTGTAGGAACTGAAAAAAAGGAAAGAAAGTTAAATTGAAAATGCCATCATTCGCTGTGGTACATCAGTCGTTGTTCAGATTGGTGATTATGCCAATCATTCGTTATCTAATACATATTTGGTTCGAAGATTCAAGCCGAGGACTATAATTTTCATGCATATGATCATAGCCCGGGTCGAGATCCCGCTCAAAAACCGCTCAAGATATGAGCGGTTTGAGCGGTTTTTCAGCAAGATTTGAGCGGTTTTCAGCAAGATTTGGAAAAACCGCTCAAACCGCTCAAATCTTGCTGAAAAAACCGCTCAAAAACAGCTCATTTCTTGCGGTGATTTTTGAACGGTTTTTCAAGCAAGATTTGAGCGGTTTTAGAGCGGTTTTTGAGCGGTCTTATAAAAAAACCGATTAAAACCAACAAAAAGGCCTGGAAAGGTAATGTGACCCCGGGTTGACATCCCTAAACCGAAAATGCTTATTTTAAATTTCCCCACACCGAAAAAGCTTATCATACAATTGCCTGCATCAAATGTATGGGAAAATGCTAATCATACAATTTTTCGATGTCTTGACCAAAAACAATGTGAGCGACATTTTTCAAATGCTCGAGCAAAATAACCACTGGAAAATATGTAAGATTTGAGCGGTTTTTTTAGACAATTACGCTCAAAATCTTGCTCCAAAATGAGCGGTTTTTGAACGGTTTATCTAAAAAAAAAACCGCTCAAAAACCGCGCAAGATTTGAGCGGTTTTTTTAGACAATTACGCTCAAAATCTTGCTTCAAAATGAGCGGTTTGAGTGGTTTTCGAACGGTTTATCTAAAAAAAAAAACGCTCAAAAACCGCGCAAGATTTGAACGGTTTTGAGCGTGATTGTCTAAAAAAACCGCTCAAACCGCTCAAATCTTGCTTCAAATTAGGTGAAAAATCTCGACTCGGGAGCGCGACCAGAAATCGTTTCTCGCGCCGAGG